GAAGCACAAATCCAATGTCATGCCTGTGGAGCAGGTGCTCTAACACTCCCTGGAACAAAATGAGCAGGCCCAGCATGACACTCCTAATTGCTCCTAATCTTTTTTTTTTTCGTTTTTTTTTTTTTTTTTGCTTTAAACTGAGCAATTTGCACATTTTGGTTCACAAGCAGATGATTTATTTCCCTTAATTACTGCACCCAACCTATACTGGGTAGGTTTAATTAGTTTCAAAGCAGGCTGAGAAAGACACTGGTAGTAACCAAGGCCAAGAGAAAGAAGATTTCAGCTACCTCTTAATATTATTTACCCTCCAACAGCTTAGTTAAACTGCCTAACAACTTTTGGATTTGGTTAATTTTGTCAGCTGCTTTGTCAGCCTTAAATTCAGGTGCTGAGGTTCAATGGGGGAAGCACCCCTTAGAACCCCCTCTGAGGCCTTGGCACAGGTGTAATCGCAGCATGACGAGTGGTGTTGCCACGTGAGGTGTATTTACCCGAGTCAGTACCACCTGTGTTGCTCAAGAGCAGTGGAGGGAACTGGAATCAGATTGATTTACAGTCATTTGGGGCCGTGTGTTCTCTCAGCTTGCCAGGAGAGCCTCACTGAGCTCACTGGATGCTCAAGCAGGAGACAGGAGCAGAGATCTCAGACTACCTGCTCTGGAAGGTCCCACATAACACAACTTTTTTCATGAGGAGAAGTTGTATACCACAGCCTCAGAGGAGGGATTTTCCCTGATTCTTGCACTAGGGAGTGGGAGAGAATCTAATTCTTTTCACAGGAGTTCCCTGATATGTGGGTGCAGAGTCAAGAACAGCCCAAGCTCTGTGGGGACTGTTCAGTCGCCCTCCTGGAGCCCAAAAGATTCCCCCAAAGTCCTGTTATCTGGTGGAACTGAAAGCCCCAGAGCTGGAAGGCTCCTGTCAGTGCCCTCTGGAGTGATAAGAGTTTTATCACTCAGTGTGTCTCTGCCAGGCTACGTTTTGCAGAAGTGGTGACAGAAGGAGAAGGAACCGTGACATCCCTCACAGCCCCAGGAGGGTGTTTATGTGCCACTTGCAGGTAAATAAGACCTTGCAGGTAGGTAATACCTTGTCAGCTGCTTCCCCTTCAGTGTATTGTCCATTTCATATCCTTTTGGGGGCAAAGAAGGTGCCACCCTGATAATCACCACTCCAAACAAAGGCATGAAGCTGATTCAGTGATATACAATGAACCACTCACCCAAGTCCTGCACAACCATCAGCAACCTCCCAAAACTCAGCCCTCTGATTTCCAGCGTGTTTTCTGAGAAGCTCCAATGTCAGCAAAAGCACTAACTAGGACAGGTCAGTCACTTACTTTCCTTTCGAAAATTCAGCTGTGTCTCCCAGATTAACATTGCTCTGCCAGGGACTTCCAAAGCTCCTGCAGATCCTGCAGTTTATTAAAGACCAGGCATCCCCTTGCATGTGAGCAGTAACAACAGCAACAAAGGGAGGGAGACAGACAGGCACTTCAGATCACAGCAGGTTGTAAGCACTTTAATTAATTTTAATTACAAAAATTGCTTGGAGCTGAGGCATTGCAGGCTGCCAGTGCAGGTTTGGTCAGGAAGAGCCTGTCCCCAAAGGCATTGAAGGTCATCCCCCAAACTTGCAGGCAGCATTGCCATTTTTGTCACACTCGGGCGCTGCTGTGTTTTCATTTCAGGTTAAAGTTGACAGGAGAGACTTCTATTGCCCTCTTTTGTTAACAGAAGAGTTTTCTAAGAGCAAACCTTGAGTGGTGTGAGAACCCTCTGCTGGGTCTGCCTTTAACACTGCACATGAACTACTTGCACAGACACTTGTAATCCAAGGCAGGTGGGCCAGTGGTGAAACAGCCTGGGTTGCCCCACACCTTTCTTTGGCCCATGGAGCTTTCTGTGACCTGAACTTCTCAAAAGTGAAACCCACCTGAACAGCCCATTAGGTTTTGCTTTACTCAGTGGAGCCGAAGCCATTAAAAAGAATAAGTGTTGTGTTCACCATCAGCAATGGGAAAAAATTCTCAGTCCCGTTTCTAGCAGCCCGTAGCCTCTTGATTTTCCAGACACACAGAATGGACATCTGGAATTCTCCCAGAGTGACTTTTTAAAGAAATAAACAGCCAGTGCTCCTTGAGATGAAAAAGCTGAGTGGAAGTACAGTTTGGGGTAAGGAGAACAAGGCAAGAAATCTGCTGCAAAAGTGAGACAGTAAGAAAGGAACCCACATGTTCTTGAAAACTTCCTCCTTCTTGGACAATGTAGAGAAGTGTCCAGGCACATTTTTCTTCACTCTGTTCCTCAGAGACTTTCTTCAGAGGCCTTTTCCTTCCAGGTATTCCTACAGAGAGTCACTGCTGTTTCTCAAGTGATTCAGGCCCTGTCCCATCTGCCCCAGACTGTACATTCCTAAGTGGAACATACCCACTGAACTTATATTTTCTGCCTCCTTGGCACTTATGCCGCAAAACCAAACTTTTCATTTTCATGAAAACTGCCTCACTCTTTTTTTCCCCACAGTACCTTATGGACAGTGTAAGCTGGCAGATTTCCCCTCTGAACATATGGATCTCACTGATAAAGCCTATCTCCAGCACTTAGTCCGTGCTGTGCAGTCTGTGCCACCTCAGCTGCATCCCGCCCGTGTTTGGGAGGCTCTAAAACCCTTCCACTAAAACAAAACAGCAACTTGGAGATGTGTTAATGTTCAAAACCCCTGGTATGATTCTACAGTTATTAATTAGCACATCCAACAAGGTGCCTGCCCTCTGAAGGGCATTAAAATCCCATGAGACAGAGGCTGAAGAGCAGGGACCTACTACACCGGGTTAAGCTGAACAGCTGGAGGTGTTTTTCAGCACCGTTAAAAAAAAGTAAATAAACCTTTTCAGCTGCTTTTCAGCCCCTTGTTGTGGCTCTCAAATCATTCTAAACATGACAGGAAAAAAAATTCCATCATTATTAAAGGGCCCTCGGTGACTCACAGAACAAAAGCTGCACACCTGAAGAGTGACTCCTCTTCAAGTCTCCTTTCCTTCTGTGCTGGACTGAGCTGCGGGGGAGTGGCTGTCTCTGGAGGCTGCCCTGGATTGTCACCTGGGATCAGGCACCAACCTGCTGCTGTGGGGATGCCGAGGCTTCCACTCAACACAGCCACAAGAGGTACTGTTGCCACATGGCTCAGGGATATGGAGATTGCTTTACTCACTGCCCCTGTGCTCAGGGCTCCCAGCTGGGCAGGTCAGAAACACGAGACCCGATCTGCATTTCAGCTAAAATCAAATTTATAAGGGCTGTTGTTCGCTTTTTTCAGCCCTGCGCTGAAACTGCCAGCCCGACTCCCAAAATTCCACATGGACGAAGATTGCTCCCAGATAAAAGGTGTCAGGACAGAAAGCTCTTGCTGCCCACCAAGTGCCCACGCTGGCCAAACAACTGCACCAGAAAGCCAAAGGTTGCAGGCTTTCTTTGCTGGGGATAAGGGCTGTTGTTTGCTTTTTTCAGCCCTGCACTGCACCTGTCAGCCTGATTCCCAAAATTCCAGATGGATGAAGATTCCTTCCAGAGAAAAGGTGCCACCACAGAAAGCTCTTGCTGCCCACTGACTGCCCAGGATGACTCTTCAGCTGCACCAGAAAACCAAAGGTTGCAGACTTTCTTTCCTGGGGATAAGGGCTCTTGTTTGCTTTTATCAACCCCGCACTGCAACTGCCAGCCTGACTCCCAAAATTCCAGATGGAAGAAGATTGCTCCCAGACAAAAGGTGCCACACCAGAAAGCTCTTGCTGCCCACCAAGTGCCCAAGTTGGCCCACCAACTGCACCTGAAAGCTAAAGGTTCCAGGCTTTCTTTCCTGGGGATAAGGGCTCTTGTTTGCTTTTTTCAGCCCTGCGCTCAAGCTGCCAGCCTGACTCTCAGTATTCCATACAGATGAAGATTCCTGCCAGACAAAAGGGGCCACCACCGAAAGCTCTTGCTGCCCACGGAGTGCCGAGAGTGGCACACCAACTGCACTCGAGAGATGGAGGGTCAGGGCTTTCTTTCCTGGGTGGAAGGGCAGTCGTTAGGGTTAGGGTTAGGATTAGGGTTAGGATTTTGAATTAGGGTTAAGTTTAGGGTGAGGTTTAGAGTTAGTTACGATTATGGTCAGGGTTAGAGTTAGGGACAGGGTTAGGTTTAGAGTTACAGTTTGTTTTAGGGTTAGTTAGGGTTAGGGTTAGATTTAGAGTTTAGGGTTTGGGTAATGGTTCGGTTTAGGGTTAGGGTTGGGGATAGGGTTACGGATTTGGTCAGGGTTAGGCTGTCCAATTGCCAGAATTCCATATGGATGAAGATTCCTCCCACGCTAAAGATGCCAGGACAGAAAGCTCTTGCTGCCCATGGAGTGCCCAGGCTGGCCCACCAACTGCACCTGAAACCCAAAGGTTTTAGGGTTTCTTTCCTGGGGGAAAGGGCTGTTGTTTGCTTTTCAGAGCCCTGCGCTGAAATTGCCACTGCTGCCTTCCATCCCCTCACAATTTCCCCTCAGGGCTTCCCACTCCCTTGTCCCGGCAGGTCCTCTGCACCACCTCAGCCCTTTATTATCTCCCAGTGCCCCATCCCCTCAGATTCCCCCCCAGCCTCACCCACCTGCCCAGCAGGGCACAGCCTTGAAGGAGCTCCACGGGAGCTGGCTCAGGAGGCACCTCCCAGCCCTCAGCAAGCCAGACAGCAACACACGGGCAGGCCACAGATGCTGCTTCCTGGCTGGCACAGGGCCTGTGGCCACCTCCAAGGACCAGCTTCTCAGGGATCCCCACAGCTCCAGGCTCTGCCCATCCATCTGCTGGAAGTGTTGAGGCTCCAGCAGAACCCCCCAAGGCCAAGGGCCTTTTGGGCACTTTCCCTGCCCCACTGCACACCTGGGCAAGTGTTGCTGAGCACAAGGGCCCTTTTTCCCCTCTTCCCCTCTGTGGACACCAGGCACTAAAAAAAACTTGCTGGGCCTCTGTGTTTCATAAGATGTATAGATATATTTGATATTCCCACACTGGTGTGGTCCTTGCAGAAAAGAGGCATTTTCCTCTTCAGAGGCATTTTCCTCTTGGAGCTGCTGGAGTCTGGAGCAGGGAGCTGTTTGTACAGCCCTTAGCATGTACAGTTTTGAATGGCCAGGCCTGCAATGGCGAGTCTGAGGTCATTCCTCTCAGGGCTGGAACAGAGAGGAATGGAGGCTACCGGAATCTGGTGGATTTAGATTTCGGTGTTGGTTTAGGTTTAGGTTTGTGGACATCCTTGATGATTTTCAAGGTTTCAGCTGCCAGCCTTGAGATGGCAGGGCTGTCAGCAGTCATGCCTTGAAGGGCTGGAACAGAAAAGACCGGAGCCAAGATCAGAGCCAGCATCTGCAGGGACCTGAGGAGCCCCTCCTGGCAGAGCCATCCCACCCAGCTCTTGCCGTTGCCAGGAGGGAGCAGGGCCCAACGGGATCAGCCAGAAGGTTCTGGCCACCAATCCCCCCCGTGCCCCTGGAATCTCTCTCTGCTCTGTCCATGCAGGGAGAAGAGACCTGCACAGCTGGGGTAGGATTGCAACTCCCTGCCCAGGCTCTGTGGTCCTCCTGCCAGCCCCTGCTGACAGCCCACTGTCCGCACTCACTGTCAATGATGACCTCTGTGATGAGCTCGTCCTCCTCCTGCCCCTTTCTCAGGTACTTGGCGGCGATCCCTGGGAACACAGATGCCGTCAGGGCCCCAGCGGCACAGCTCCCCCCCGGCGGCGCTGCCGGCCCGGCCACGCACCCTCCTGCCCTGGCAGGGCTGAGCCCGGGGCCTTCCCGCCTGGGGACGCCCCGGGGCTGGGCTGGCACAGGGCGGCAGCCACCAGGGCACTCGGGGCTCCCCAGCACATCCCTGGGCCGCATCCTGCTGCCGCTGCAGCAGCCGGGGCTGGGGCTGAGCTGCAGAGGGGCGGGGAGGGACCTTGTGGCTCACCAATGAACTTGAGGGCCGCCTCCCGCAGGGGCTCCTGTGGGCTCTCGAGGTGTGGCAGGGCCTGCCACATGAACTCCACCACTCTTTTCTTCTCGCTTTCCACCTGGAGAGAGCGGCAGGGCACGGAGGGAAGGGTTGGCTGGGGCTCTGCCCCTTGGCCGGGCGCTGCCCGCGCCCAGCACTGGCCTCCCCTGCCCGCACAGCCCTGAGGCCCGGGCAGCAGCCGCTGGGGCCGGCTTTGGAGGGAGCAGAGGGCCGGCTGCTCCCCGGCAGCCGCGGGGCCGCCCTGCCCCACAGCCCAGCTGGGCCGGGGCTCCATGGCAGCCTGGCTCGGGGGCAGAGCAGCCCGCAGAGGAGCCCGCACGCCCCAGGCAAGGCAGCAGCGGGTGCGCAGGCTGCTGTCCCGCAGGCGGCTGCTGCAGTGGGCAGGGGCACAGTGCCGGCCCCGCACTCTGGGCATCGGGGACTGGGGGCTGCTCAAGCCTGGGGCTGGGCCTTCCTGGCCATCCTTACCAGGCAGTCGCAGAACCGCCACGGCTTGTCCGCCTCCAGCAGGTTCTTGAGATCCCTTCTCTTCAGGAACCTGAGTGCACGAATCAGCACTTCCCAAGAGGCCTGCAGAGCAACAGAGACCAGAACATGGCACCACGGCCCAGGGCACAGGACCCGTGTCCCTCCACCAAAACCAGGAGGAGACTGGAGCCCGGGAGGTGCCAGGCCCCCTCCCACGGGGACACCAGAGTCCAGAAAGTCCTCACGTCTGCCAGGTGCTCGTTCTCATCATGCGAGAGGAAGAAGAGTGGCAGCAGGCTCTGGATCACGTGCGTCTGCAGGGGTTGTTTTCCCTCCTCCACTACCAACTTCAACACCCTTCGGAAGAGGTGAACGGAGAGCAGCTGCACGTGGATGTTGTCCTGATGGAAAGTGAGAGGAAAAGACCTCAGCACCGGCTGCTCCAGGCCCACCGGGGCACAAGCCTGCAAATCCACAGGCTACAGTTTCCTGGCAGCACCCAGCGCCTGGGGTGGGGGGCACAGAGCCTTACATAGCCAAAGAGTGTCTGGAGTGCCTCAGCCAGCTCCAGGGCAGTGGGGGTGGAGATTGGGATGCCTCTGTCCTGGACTTCATTGATGAATATAGAGAGGGCCATCCAGACCAGCTCTCCGTCTGCATCCCACAGTAGCTCCGTGAGGCTTTGTGTCAGGCTCTGCACACCGTCAGCCTGTGAGGAACACAAGGCTGTGCTGTGAATCCATGAAGGGCTTCAGCCCCAACCCCGCTCCGGCGGGGCAGCCCCACGTGCTGCCGCGGGGCCCAGAGGCCAAAGGCCTATCCTGAGGGACTCGGGCAGCTGAGCGGGGAGGCAGCAGAGCTGGCAGCAGCTGCCACAGCTCCCAAAGCCCAGCCAAGCCCAAGTGACTGCGTTCCCCAGCCCCAGGATTCCAGCACGGCTTCAGCCAACTGCCCCTTCTCACCATCACAGGATCCTGGCTGAGCACCAGAAGGCCTCGGAGCGCCAGGCGACGCCTCTCTGGGCACTCGCTTCTGAGGTGCCTTGAAAGGCTCTGCAGAATGCTGCCTCCCCAGTCACTCATGTCCAGCCCATCCAGGACCTGAAAGGCACGGAGCAGTGACGGGGTGCCGGGCTGGCAGGAGCCCAGACCCACACAGGGCTGGGCCCTCCAAGAGGGCAGAGAGGTGGAGGCAGCTCAGCCAGGCAGTGCTCGCCATCAGGCTCACCTCCACAAGGAACGCCACGGTGAAGACCTCCAAGTGGGGCTCCTCCCTGCTCAGCAGCTCCAGCAGGTGGAGTGTGATCCGGGAACACAAGGGGCTGGAGACACGGCGCATCTCCCTGCGAGGGGGAAAAAGGCACCCATTGACCCTGAGCCTGGTGGGCAAACCTCTCCCAAGATGGACTCACAGAGGCCTGCTTTTTCCCCAGGACAAGGGCACTCTGGGAGGCGGCTCCTCCTGTGCATCCGCCTCTCCCAGCCTTTTCCACTCTGCTCAGCCATCCCTCAGTGACAAGGCCCTCTGGCCCATGACCACTGTGTGGGGTGCCCCATGCACAGGCAGAAATGACAGGGGCAGCAGGGACAAGGGGGTCTCACCTGGCCAGCAGACCCACTGCGTAGTGGTGGGTGTCAGCGCTGAGGAGCGTGTCCCAGCCGCGCTTGCGTTCCATTGAAACCACAACTTCCTCACACTCCAGGTGGCAAAGCAGGGCCTTGATGGTGAGCACTGCAAACCTGTGTGCAGAGCAAAGCCCGGGTCATGCTGGGAGCCCTGAGCCAGCCCCGAGGGCACAGAAGGCAGAGGAGGACTGGGATGGAGCACCTGTTGGGCTGGGTGGGAAGGTTGTGTTGCTCCCGGCATCCCCTCCAGAAGGTGTCGACCTCCTCTGGTGTCTGCTCTGTGCTGATGAGAACTTGGAAGAGCAGAGCCATGAGGAGCCGGGGGGAGTACTCTATCAATGACTCCGTGAACCAGAACATCTGCAGAGTCTCCCAGATCACCCTGGTTGCCTGCAAAATATAAACCACCCAGACACAGCTCTCAGTGCTCAGATGTCCATGTGGCAGGGCCCGAGCGTGGCAGGGAGACGCCAGGGAGGATGCAGGGGGAACACCTGGCCTGGTGCCCCTGAACCTGCCCCTAACCTACATTTCCAGCCCAGCGCCTGAGGCAGGGAGATGCAGTGCTGGGGGAGGATGGAGACCCATCAGAGAGGTGACCTGGGGGTGAGCAAAAGCCCTTCCCATGAACTCACAGCCAGGGCAAAGACATCTGTTTTGTCCCCGTCAGAGGTGGACATGCTGTGCATTGGCCAGTCCTCCATCACACAGAGCAGCTCTGGCAGCACCTTCACCACTGTCCTTCCTGATGAGGTGATGGTCCTCCACATGATGGCAGCAGCTCTGTAGGGCCAGAGTTCTGTGTCAGGGGGGTGCCGGCCAAAGTGCCTTGAGGAGCAGGGAGGGAGCATGGCAGCAGGATCGGGGCTGACATGGCAGGGCTGGGAAACAGAGGGGCCAGGGGGTCCTGGAACTCTCCATCCCTCTGGCCGACCATGTGGGACGGGATGGACAGGGTGATGTGCTCTGAAGGCTGGTGAGCCCTGAGCCCCGAAGACAGGAGGTCCTGTACCTGTCACATGATGAGGCACAGCAGAGGAGGGTCACGACAGCATCAGCAGGGTGTTCATCAGTCACCCTCAGAAACTCTGCCAGCAGCTTCTCTTCTGGAGTCGTGCTGGCTGTCAGTCTCTGGTGCACGTTCCTGACGAAGGCTGGCACCTGGAGGAGGCATGGAGGAAGAGCTGCCAACTTGCCCAGCTTCCCCGACAAGTGCTTCCCTTCCCACCACACTGTGCTGGCCTCAAAGGCTGAGGAGGCCCAGGGGAGCTGGCTAGAGGGGCCACACCATCCCGGGGGGCTTGAGCCCTGGCCACAGGCTGCTTACTTGCTTTGCATCAGAGACACCATTCTCCTCAGAAACATCCGCAGGCAGAGCATCATTCCCGCTCTGAGCAGGCCTGCTGTCGGTGTCTGCACCGCTGTCCTGGCCTGGATGTGGCAAAGAGAGAGCATGGTCAGAGCTGAGGGGCTGCAGGAGAGGCTGGAGAACACAGCCCAGCCCACAGGCAGGACCAGTCCCAGGATGCCCAGTGCATGGAGCTGCCGGGGGATCAGCCCCCGGCCCTCTTCCCCCCTCCCTTTCCCTGGCCAGGTCCACATGGAATGGGATGGGCTGAGGCCCATCTGGCTGCTGCCACCAGTCCTGTGGCCCAGCTGTGCCACTCACCCTCCTGCAAGGGCTGGGGCTGGTCCACCTCTTCAGGCTGCTGTGCCGGGGCAACATCAGCGCGTTCCTCTTCCTCCTCCTCCTTCACCCAGGCCATCTGGGAAACGCTGGGAGGTCTCTGCTCCGTGTCTCTGTCTGGCTCCGTGGCTTCCTGAGGAGAGACAGCACAGAAAAGCTCTGGGTCACCAAGTCCTACAGTTGTGCCCTGAAGGCTCCTGCAACAGAAGACTTGGGAACTCTCCAGCCCATCAAGTCCCATGGTCTGGCCTCAAGGGCACCTGCCACAGGAACTGAGATGCCTTGGAAAAGCTCCAGTTCACCAAGACCCACTCTCTGGCCTGGAGGGGGCACGTGGGAGAGTGGCCAGAGGGAGCAATTTGCCCAGTTTCCCCCGAGAAGTGCTTCCCTTCCCACCCCACCGGGCTGGTCTCAAAGGCTGAGGGGGCCCAGCAGACCAGTTTGAGGGCCCACACAATCCCTGCCCGCAGGCTGCTTACTTGAGCAGAGACAGCTCCATCCCCAAGAACGTCCTGACTGGGAGCATCGGGCAGGCGCTGAACAGGTGTGCTCTCAGTGTCTGCCATGCCCTCAGTCGTTGCCCCGTCAGCCTCCGTGCTGAGCTCAGGCAGGGCCGTGTTGGAGTTTGTCCCATCATTAGTCACCACACCATCACAGAGTGCTGTGCCATCAGTTGACGTGGTGTCGACTTCAGGGTGTGCCTTGAGCTCACTCAGCGTGGGGTCAGGCTGTGCCAGGACCTCAGTTGGCGTGATCCTGGTCTTTCTACGCTGAATACCCAAGAATGTCAGAAAGGCCTGCAAGAAAATGGAGAGCGGGGAAGAGAGGTCTGTGCCATGGAGAGCTCCGACAGCGGTGCCAGGCTGAGCAGGGACAGCAGGCCCAGCCCAGGAGGCCGTGGCCGCAGGTACCTGTGCTGCCCTGCGGAAGTGGCCACGGGCACGGTCCTGTTCTTGTGTCCGCTCCCGTCCTGGATCTGGCAAAGAGTGAGCACGGTCAGAGCTGAGGGGCTGCAGGAGAGGCCAGAGGACACAGCCCAGCCCTGCGCTCCACAGGCAGGGCCAGCCCCGGGATGCCCAGTGCATGGAGCTGCCGGGGGATCAGCCCCGGGCCCTCCTACCCCTCCCTTTCTCTGGCCATGTCCACACGGAATGGGATGGGCTGAGGCCCATCTGGCTGCAGCCACCAGCCCTGTGGCCCAGCTGTGCCACTCACCTTCCTGCAGGGACTGGGACTGCTCTGCCTCTTCAGGCTGCCGTGCTGGGGCAGGCCCAGGGCCCTCCTCCTCATCCTCCTTTACCCAGGCCTGCTTGGGCACGCTGGGAGGTCTCTGCTCCATGCCTCTGTCCAGCTCCATGTCTACCTGCAGGAGACATGGTACGAAAAAGCTCTGGGTCACCAAGTTCTTCAGTCGTGCCTTGAAGGCTCCTGCAACAGAAGACTTGGGAACACTCCAGCCCATCAAGTCCCATGGTCTGGCCTCGAGGGCACCTGCCACAGGGACTGAGATGCCTTGGAAAAGCTCCAGTTCACCAAGACCCACTCTCTGGCCTGGAGGGGGCACGTGGGAGAGCTGCCAGAGGGAGCAATTTGCCCAGTTTCCCCCAAGAAGTGCTTCCCTTCCCACCCCACCGGGCTGGTCTCAAAGGCTGAGGGGGCCCAGCAGACCAGTTTGAGGGCCCACACAATCCCTGCCCGCAGGCTGCTTACTTGAGCAGAGACAGCTCCGTCCCCAAGAACGTCCCGACTGGGAGCATCGGGCAGGCGCTGAACAGGTGTGCTCTCAGTGTCTGCCATGCCCTCAGTCGTTGCCCCGTCAGCCTCCGTGCTGAGCTCAGGCAGGGCCATGTTGGAGTTTGTCCCGTCATCGGTCACCGCGCTGTCACAGTTTGCTGTGCCGTCAGTCGACGCGGTGCCGACTTCAGGGTGTGCCTTGAGCTCACTCGGCGTGGGGTCAGGCTGTGCCAGAACCTCAGTTGGCGTGATCCTGGTCTTTCTACGCCGAATGGCCAGGGATGTCAGACAAGCCTGCAGGAGAACGAAGGGCAGGGAAGAGAGGTCTGTGCCATGGAGAGCTCCGACAGCGGTGCCAGGCTGAGCAGGGACAGCAGGCCCAGCCCAGGAGGCCGTGGCTGCAGTACCTGTGCTGCCCTGCGGAAGTGGCCACGGGCACGGTCCTGTTCTTGTGTCCGCTCCCGTCCTGGATCTGGCAAAGAGTGAGCACGGTCAGAGCTGAGGGGCTGCAGGAGAGGCCAGAGGACACAGCCCAGCCCTGCGCTCCATAGGCAGGGCCAGCCCCGGGATGCCCAGTGCATGGAGCTGCCGGGGGATCAGCCCCAGGCCCTCCTACCCCTCCCTTTCTCTGGCCATGTCCACACGGAATGGGATGGGCTGAGGCCCATCTGGCTGCAGCCACCAGCCCTGTGGCCCAGCTGTGCCACTCACCTTCCTGCAGGGGCTGGGGCTGCTCTGCCTCTTCAGGCTGCTGTGCAGGGGCAGTCTCAGGGCCTTCCTTCTTTTTCTTCCTCCTGAGAAACCTGCACAGGCTGAAGCGTCTCTCCGCCATCCTACAGTCGGGCCTCGAGGGCACCTGCTGAGGGATTGGAGACGCAAGGGAAAAGCTCCGGGACACAGAGTCCCAGAGAATGACCTCGAGGGCACCTGCCGCAGGGACTGGAGACGCCTCGGAAAATTTCCGGGTCACCAATCCTGTGGTCTGGTCTCAAGGGCACCCGAATGAGAGAAAAGCCTACAAAACAGTGTTGGTTAGCAAGTCCTGCAGTGCCGCCTCGAGGGCAGCTGCCGCAGGGACTGGGGACACCTCGCAAAAGCTCCGTGTCACCAAGTCCCGCGGTCCGGCCTCGAGGACACTTGCAAGACAGAAAAGCCACCAAAATGCTCCGGATCAGAAAGGAACGAGTTGGCTGCGCGGGGGCTCCACACAGCACCGCTCTGTCCCGTCCGTCCCGTCGCACGCTCCGAGGAGCACTGAGATGTGGTCACCTCAACACCACTACTATGTCCTCACGTGTCACAAAGGGCCCTGTGACACCCTGTCCCGTGCCATCCCATCGGCCATGCCCGCCGTGTCACAAAGGGCCCTGTGACACACTGCCACGTGCTCTGGGGCCTCCCCCAGCCCGGCCAACCTGCTCCAGGTCAGAAGGAGTCCATTCTCCAAAGTATCTAAGAGAGCTGGACATGAACTTTAGGCACAGCTCAAAAACTAAGCAAACCCTCCCCTGCTGTGCCTGCCCACGGCAGCAGAAGGAGCCCCCTCGGCTGCCGAGGCAGCCGCAGCGGGAAGGCCACGGGGCCTCCACACAAGCTGGCACGGGCTCCTTGGGAGAAGTACCGGCTGGTGGCCCTCCCAAACACGGGGCTGTGACACACAGAAGGAACGTGGGGACAAGGGCACCAATGCTGCTCCCACCCCATTGCCTGGGGCTGCACCAAAATCAGCAGCTCTGGCAAGTCCTCGCCCAAGGAGACCTGCCACCGCAGGCTGGTGCCCGTCTCCTGCCCCACAGAGCTGTGCCACCGGGGGACTTCTCTGCCAGAGGGCAGCCAAAGCCAACGGGCACTGATGTCTGCACTCTTGCAGGGAGCTGTTGGGAGTGGCAGATGGAGCAATTGGTGGCCGTGCTCGGCATTGTCCATTGAAGCTGTTCCAGCCCTGAGAAGAATGACTGATGACCTCAAACTCGCCATTGCAGGCCTGGCCATTCAAAACTGTACATGCCAAGAGCTGTACAAACAGCTCCCTGCTCCAGACTCCAGCAGCTCCAAGACTGGCTCTGAAGAGGAAAATGCCTCTTTTCTGCAAGGACGGCCTTTTACACCAGCATGGTAATATCAAATATATCTATACATCTTACGAAACACAGAGGCCCAGCAAGTTTTTCATGCCTGGTGTCCACAGAGGGGAAGAGGGGAAAAAGGGCCCTTGTGCTCAGCAACACTTGCCCAGGTGTGCAGTGGGGCAGGGAAAGTGCCCAAAAGGCCCTTGGCCTTGGGGGGTTCTGCTGGAGCCTCAACACTTTCAGCAGACGGATGGGCAGAGCCTGGAGCTGTGGGGATCCCTGAGAAGCTGGTCCTTGGAGGTGGCCACAGGCCCTGTGCCAGCCAGGAAGCAGCTTCTGTGGCCTGCCCGTGTGTTGCTGTCTGGCTTGCTGAGGGCTGGGAGGTGCCTCCTGAGCCAGCTCCTGTGGAGCTCCTTGAGGGCTGTGCCCTGCTGGGCAGGTGGGTGAGGCTGGGGGAGAGCCTGAGGGGAAAAGGGCTTTTGTTCTCTTTTATCAGCCCTGTGCTGTAATTTCCAGTCCAACTCAAAAAATTCCATACTGACAAAGATTCCTCCCAGACCAGACCTGTCAGGACACAAAGCTCTTGCTGCCCATGGAATGCCCAGGGTGGCCCAGCACCTGCACCTGAAAGCCAAAGGTTCCAGGCTTTCTTTCCTGGGGGAAAGGGCTGCTGTACCCTTTGTTCAGCTCTGTGCTGCAATGGCTGGCCCCACCTCCCTAAAATTGAATATAAACGAGGATTCTTCCCAGACAAAAGGTTCCACCACAGAAAGCTCTTGCTGCCCACGGAGTGCCCAGGCTGCCCCACCAACTGCACCTGAAAGCTGTCACGTGGGGTCTTTATATGATAAAGAAATGGAGTCAGCTCCCCTTGAGGTGGTGGTCAGAGAGAGTTTTTTCAAAACTCGCGCCCTCTTTTATCCCTTGAACTCACGTGACCTTGTGACCAATGAGGGTACATATTTCCACGCATGTCCCTTGGGCTTCCCTGCCCTCGGTGCTTCCCCTGCACCCCTGGACACGCCTCCTACAGAAAAGGGAAATGTTCACAGAATCATGAATCACAAAATCACAGACTGTGCTGAGTTGGAAGGGGCCCCACAAGGATAATTAAGTCCAACTCCTGGCCCTGCACAGGACCATTCCCAAGAGTCAGACCATGTGCCCAAAAGTATCATCCAAACGGTTCTTCAGCTCTGGCAAGCCTTGAGGCCATGACCTGGGGAGCCTGTTCAGTGCCCAGCCTAACCCTCCTCTGACACAATTTCAGGCCATTCCCTCAGGTCCTGTCACTGGTCACCACAGAGAACAGACAGTCCCTGCCCCTCCTCTTCCCCTCACAAGGAAGTTGGAACTGCAGTGAGGTCTCCCCTCAGTCTCCTGTTCTCCAGCTGAACACACCAAGTGCTCTCAGGCACTCCTCATACAGCTTCCTCTCAAGGCCCTTCCCCATCTTTGTTACCCTCCTTCAGACACTCTCTAATGGCTTACTGTCTTCTTTATATTGTGGTGCCCTAAATTGCCCCAATATTGAGGTGAGGCCGCCCCAGGTCAGAGCAGAGCAGGACAGTCCCCTCCCTGGCCTGGCCGGCGATGCTGGGCCTGAGGCCCCCCAGGACAGGGTTGGCCCTCCTGGCTGCCAGGGCACTGCTGATTCATGGCCAACTGGCCACTCACCAGGACCCCCAGGGCCCTTTCCTGATGCTTTCGAGCATCTCATTCCCAGTCTGTCTATATATCCAAGGTTGCCCCATCTCAGGGGCAGAATCTGGCACTTCCCCTTGTTGAACTTCCTATGGTTGATGATTCCCAGCCCTCTGATTTACTGAGGTCTCTCTGCAGGGCCTCCCTACCTATGAGGGAGTCAACAGATCCTCCCAGTTTTGGGTCATCTGCAAACTTGCTCATTGTCTCTTCCAGTCATTGATGAAGATGTTGAAGAGCACAGGGCCTAAGATGGAGCCCTGTGGAACCCCACTAGTTACAGGAGGCCAGTCTGATGTCACCCCAGTCACCCTTTGTGCCCGACCCATAAGCCAATTGCTCACCCACCCCATGATGTGTTTAACCAGCTGTGGGCTGGACAGTTTGTCCAGAAGGATCCTGGGAGAGACATTATCAAAAGCTTTACTGAAATCCAAAAACCCCAAAGAGTTATGGCATTTCTTAGAGATTTAGCAGCAGAAGCCTGGGGAGAGTGTACTGGCATAGATTTTGTGAGCGTGGGATGGTGGTGCTCCATGTGTTCAATTAATAGTGAGTGAAAAGGATTTATGGACTCCCATAGACACTGATCACAAAATCCAGCAGGGCTATGCTCAACTACGGGACATAAAAGGCCCTGATGGGCAGGAAATCATGGCCCTCCCCACTGTGTCAATGGATATGTGCCATGGTGTTAACAGCACATGCAGATCCTGCTGTAAGAGCATATAAGCCAGCAAAGCTGAAGAAAGTCACCTCATGGGTGACCAGGAAAATAATGTCTGTTGCCCTTCTCTCTGCCCACACAGATGCTCCCACCTGTGCATCCAGGTGAGCATCAGTGTGGGCACAGAGAAGAGCCCACCCGGAGCTGGATCATGGGGTTTATGGACACACAGGTTCCTTTTGACACAGGGGAATGGAGATGTCTTCACTCGAGGTGCTCACGTGTCCATGTGCAATATAGGGAATAGATCTGATATGGATTTATCCATCAGACATTGTTGATACTTGTGCAAGTCACAGAGATCTTTTTGGTTCAAGGCATCCAGAACACACTACTAATGGGTGTGGGAAGGGCTGGGCCTGGTGGAAGGGCTGGATGTGGACATGTTGGCATGGCCAGGGCTCGTGGGGAGGTGTTGCCCTGCCAAGCCAAGTGCTGGCAATTCCCTACCAGAAGTGGTGCAGACGAGCCCGGGGTTGGCACAGGGCAGGTTCCTGGGGACAGGGACAAAGCCACTGGGAGCTGCAGGGAATGTCTGTAAACCCCCTGAACCATGGGGGGTGGAAGTGGGGTTGGGAAGGGAAAGGGGAAGAACACGGTGAGAGGAGGAGCTGGAGGAGCAGCTCCAAGGCTCCCAGCTCCCAGCCCTTGCCCAGCCCAGCAAAGCCCAAGCAAGCCCAGCCTGGATGCCCCAGCCCCATTTTCCCAGCTCAGGAGCTCTGTCAGAGAGAACAGGCCGGGCTGGGTGACTCTCCCTGGGCACTGGCCGTGCTGGAGTGCTCCCTGGGCTGGCTGTGGGAGGGCCTCACCGGGGCACAGGTTGTGTTGCTGTTCAGCTCTTGCACACGAGGCTTTAGAGAGAAAAAGGAAAGCCTGTTATTTCCCCTGCTGGTTGCAAGCCCTGCACAAGCCTCTGGTCCTGGGCTACAGGAGAGCTGCAGGGAGCTGGGCCCTTTGCTTTCAGTTTTGGTTTCATTATTTTCCCCCAGTTTAAACCCCTAAATTCTACATGTGACATTCCATCATGAAGTATTTTTTCCAGGGAAAATATTTACAGATGATACTGAGAAAATAAAATATTTTCCTTGGACAAAAATCTATCTCATAAATATCTACAAGTGCTTCCCTTCAGTTCTTGGTGGAAATGGCCCTGTGGGACTCCCCAGCCCAAGCCACTGGCACAGACCCTGAGACCCACATCCCATGCACAGGCCCTGCTCCTTGGTTTGGCACCAAGGCTGTGCCACAACTCACCCTGTTCCGTCCAACATGGGGGATGTTGGAGTCTGCTGGGGGGCAAAAAGCACAGAGTGAGCCCTTGCTTCCCGTTCTGAGAGGGACAAGCCCCACCCTGCCTTTGAACAGCAGATCCCTGGGGTCAGCACTGAATCCCCTGCCCTGTTTGCCCCTTATCTCACCCCACTCCTGGAGCAGAGGAAGCTGCTCTTCCATCTGTGGATGCAGAGCAGGGATGGGGATCTGTTGTCACCTTTCCTCTGCAGGCTGTGTGTGCAGGGAGAAGCTGGGGAGCAACAGCGTGGGGAGAAATCTGCCCTTGTTCAGTGGGAGTTGTTTTGCAAATCCCACTGGGAGATAAATTGCTGGGATTGCATGTGGAATTGGGAAAGTCCCTGCAATGAGGGGAGGGGATGGAGAGGATGGAAAGGGGGCTTGGGGCAGGTCCCTGTAACTCAGTGCAGCTCCTGAGGCTGCGGCACGGCCAGTCAATGGTCTCTGGGTTGCTGGTGTTGCCAGAGGCAGCCAGGACACAAGAGGGGGTCAACCAGAATGGGGAGTTGGTACTCACAGTGTATTTCATTGTCATCAGTCCCTTCAGCCTCGTGGCTGGGAACTTGCTGCTGTCTGGAGAGAGTTGGGGGAAAGGGTTTTGGGGTCCGTGTCCAGACCCTGATGAGCTCTTTGGAGTCATTGCCATGGATGATTCTGTCTTGCATCAGGTCCATGGCTGGAGTCAAGGCCAGGGCAAGCCCTGCTCCTCCCTGCCTGCACCATGGGAGAATCCACCCACGAGCACAGACCAGGTTGCCCCTGCCCAAGGACCACTCCAGGGGGCCTAGGATGCCCTGTCTCCATTATCCCCCAGCCCCCAGCCCACAGGGATTGCTGCTCACCTTTGGCATCTCTCTCTGCAGGCTCCTGCAAGGAAAAGAAAGGGAGAGGTGGGAGGCAGAGTTCCTGCACAGGAACTGTTCCCCTGACTTTCCATGCTCTGGACTGTGCAGTGAAGGTGATGGGCTGAACCTCCACATCTCACTCAGAGAGGGATTTTTCAAGCCCAGCCTATAAAACAGTGAATTCCCTTTCCCAGCCTGGCCTCTCCCAGGCTCTCAGCAGCTGTGCACAGGATGGGAGCCAATGTGTGCCTGGCGCAGGGCACCTCTTTGGTAAAGTCTTTATCATCTCAGCAGCTTTACTTCCCTCATTTGACAAATGAAAGGCCTGAGAGGCTCAGTTTCCTGTGAAATGGGGTAAGGATCCAGCCATTCTAGACCAGCATGGGTCAGAGAACAGCAGCCCTGCATTAAGTGCAATTTTGGCCTCAGATTTTCCCCTTGATATCCCCAAATCACTCACCTTTCCTCACAAAACAGTAGGTGGATGCAGCCAGGAGGAAGAGAGAGATGGTT